AGAGAGGAGCGAGAGAAAGATGCCATCCTTGCAAGTGCACGCCAAGAGACGTCGCGACGCTTCGCGGGAATACCGTCGGCGGTATTCCCAGCGACGTACATATCCAGGAACGTACTCGACACGTCGCCCACAAATTCCCCGCGAATGTGCCTGATGTATCGTGTATCCGGAATACCGAGCGGTATACAGCGCGCGCAAGATTCTCTGACGCAGTGCGAGAGAGTGCATCTTTGCGCGATCAGCGAAAAACCGATGTAAATATATTGCGAGACTCGATGGCGTTGCTTTAACCCGAGCTATGTGCACCAAATATCGAGACTGAAAAGGAAATCCGATGCATTTTATCATGATGGATTATTCATTCATACTTGAATGCATTAATGTAGAATTTGAATGGAAAAATAATAAAAATGATGTTATAAATAAAATTCCGCTGCTACGTTACATTAATTATTATTTAAAATTTAATAATTATTCTTTAAAATTAATTATAATTATTCTTTAAAATGACTAATCAGATATGCGTATCTTTACGAAATAAGTAAATTTACAAAGTAAAATTACAAATGTTTTAAGTCAGCAGCAATATGCAGCTTATACACACACATTCAGTTTTCCAATTATTACACACATCGCTCTTAAGAAAATAGCTACGCTAGTTTGACAGTTTCGTGCAACAAGTTTTCGTAAATCTTTAAAGGCTCCGAGCACGCGAGATTATTACAGCAGAACGCTGCAGAATGTCTAAGCTGTGTATCTCGCAATATAGCAATGGCTGTGTCACAAATCAATTGTAATGTTGGCTTTTATTATGAAATACGGGTCAATAAGTTCTCCCAAGGCAATTTCCTGCAATGTTTCCTTCTATGTTCATATGTGCGCCGACCATACGACTACAATATTTACTCTACGCTTGTATCCAATCAGTACGATCACAATTTCGACGCTTTGTGCATGTAATATTTCGTAGTTTTTAAGGTAAAAAAAAGCGATCTCTAATAAAGTCATCGCAATATATAAATTAGCTTCATTAAAAAATTTCTAAAAAATCGAGTACTCGACGTTCTTTCCTTTCTTAGTTGAAGGCATTTACATCATTTACGAAATGTTCCAACGTCCGTGTTATTTTGTTAGCATAATTTCTTGCTCGACATATTTCTCTAGCTTTTAGACTACACAAAAGACATTTTTATTTATATAGTCCCCAATCCTATTTTAGCTTATTCAATTTTTTTACGGACGATTTCACCGACTATTTTTATTTTAGCCCATTCCGTTGCATTTCCGCGATGTACAAATAAATTTTACTTACAATCCGCTTAACGTTTTCACGTGAAAATAGCACCGGAAACATTGAGCGCGCGATCGAAGCTTAGTTTCGCAGTACTTATCAAAATCGATTTATCCTCAAATGATCTCGTTCGCAAATCTACGCAAGGGGGAAAAAGGAATCGGTCGGACGGCACGACCAACTGTCCGGAGAATTACGAATCTAGGTCAAATGGATCCACCAAGTAATAACTTTTGAGGTTGACATTGAGGCAGCGCAAAATTCCTCGAGGTTTCATTCGCTTGAACGATATTAGGAAAAACGAAATGCTTGCCTGTGTCATACGGTGGAATTCTCGTTTACTACGTATTATTGTACTGTATATTGTTACCTGATTGTTATCAATTTCAATTTTACCTGCTAAATTGCTCAATGTGAAGATAAAATGTGTAAAAATATCAAATTAAAATTTTTTTATTTCTTTCATCATAGTAAATTTTTTTTTAGAAAAATGTGTACAGAATTATGTTACGTGTCTCTCGCGCATCTCAGTACGAATTTAATACTTTTACTTTTTATACGAAGTATTTATACGCAGCAAAATTTCTAATGAGACAATCGAACGTAGATTCAAATAATAATAAAAATTTCCAGGAGCAGGTGCGAGGGACTTACGATTTCCTTTCCGAGCACGCACGCTGGTCGATCGTCAGACCAGAGCTTTATTCCGGGACACAACTCGCAAGCACGGTTACTTACACGGAAAGTCTCCCACCGATCCTCCGATTCTCCGCCACCACCGTGTAACTTTACCCATTTGCAACTTTCGTGTTGCGCCCTTGCGAACCTCCTCCCGTTCTCTCCTTCTCCCCTTCTCCGAAAAGGACCTCGTTTCCCCCGATTTCGTTTTCTTTCCGACGAAAATGGTTTTACGTTCTCACGTAACAAATCCCGCAGACGGCGTAGAAAAGAGACTCCTTTAATATTCCTTTTCTCTCTCTCTCTCTCGTAATTTCCTTTCCGGGATTTCACGATGAACGGACGTTAGAATAGCAACTCTACCTTTCTGTAAAGTGCTATCTCGCGAGATGTGGAAAAACATGCGTATAACAACACGTGCGATGCAGAAAAGCAAGATATTCTTTCTAAGAGAGATTTGAAGTTGATTCTTCTCAGACAAACGCTGCATACAGAATGATGATAATATACTATTTATCTATCTGCAATTCGTACAAGATCAAGTCACACACACACACACAACAATATAATGGAATCAATTAAACTTTTTACTGCAATAATTCTCAAGTTCATTTTGAAGTAAATAACATATTATTGTTTAACGAAATATAAATAATTATATGTACAATAAACACACAAATATTCAAATAAAAACTTTAACTGCAATAAAATTTTAATAAAATAAATTTGCTATATGAAGACTTCCCGTAAAAATCATCAACGTTTGTGGAATTGTTGTTTCATATAATTGTAAGTGATTATTAATTGGCTGTGTATTCAGTGTCTGTCATTCAATATGCAATGAATACGTGAATCGTTCAATGCACAGCATCAAAGAAAGAATCGCAAATCAGATCCAATTATATTTGTTCCATTTTTTAACATAATTTCTTTTCTTTTAGAATGTGTTCTATATTCTTATTATATACTTTTTTTAAATATACTAACCAACTACAAATATACATATACCGATTTATTTATAAAGATAAGAAATAATTAACTTATGAGAGATAATAATGTCGTAGTGATAGTTCACGTTCTCAGATAAGAATCATTTCACATACATAATTAGACAGAAGGAAAAAATTGATAATTTTTTCGTTATATTGGAATACCTCAATTTTTCTGTAAACTCTAATTTTATTTTAAAGCGGAATAGTTTTAATTTAAAAAGAAAAGAGGAGAAGAAATCCCCTTTATTGGAAATAAAAATAAATCGTGCAGCAACATAAAATGCAGGTCGTATCGGTTTTCTAATTTGGCGCAGCACCCCAGCCACATGGAACCGACAATCGATATACGTTCAATTATTAATAAGAGACTCTACTATTTCGAGATTCAGTTAATTATATTTGAAGAATTGATGTTCATCGTTAAAGAAACGGCGCGTGTTGTCGACGCATTTTGCGATCTCGTTTTTTCATCAACTGCTAAGGGATGTCATTGTCATCGTCAAAAAACATCAACTTGCAAAAAAATAATACATGTGTAAAAAAATAGATAGGCATCGTCAAAAAGGCGCTCTTTATTGCCGACTTATTTGTGAACACAATATTAAACTTTGTAACACAATATAGCCGAATTATTAAACGCAATAATAGTTCGACAATACATTTACAAGGTTAAAATATAATTTAATTATCTGGAAGTTAATGAGCTTTCTAATTTTCTCCCAGTACATGAAAAACAATTATTATCTATCCGAGTGGTTGAGCTCCGTAAAATTGATCTGACCCCAAGCGTGAAAACCAGTAAACCAATGTTGATGCGTAAATAATTAACCTCATGACATAATCACTTTCAACGCTTATTTAAAATTTCTGCTTAATAAAATGCAAAATAATAACAAGTTTATCAATCAATCAATCAATCAATCAATCAGATAAAATAATGTGATAAATGTAAAATAATTGTGACGTAAATATAAATGATACCAGAATATATATTTACAATGAATCTAGTATAATTCTCGAAATAGTTAAATGTGATAATTATTCGTATATACTGAATAAATATAAAAAATGAAATAAAAGCAATGCAACGTTCCACGCAACGTTTGGAAAACTGCCAAATCAAATCTAATACTCGGCGGAAAAAATCGATTCGACGGAGTAAAACCAGTATATACAGAATTTAATGGCAAACTCATCGAAATATGTATTTATTGGCATACCCTCCCTCACACAGTTGTTTTCCAATCCGCAGTAAGTTATTATTTCCTGATGCAAATCCGAAATAAATATAAAATTGGCTTATTCATAGAAAATATGAAATTTTGAACCGCTAAAAAGATTTATTCTCAGCATAAACCAACAGCTCTTCTAGATATTTTCACACACAAAAATATCAGAGATCACGATCAGTGGTCTAATTAAAAACATAACGAACAAGAATAAATTCTGAGCTGTGTTCTCGGTATGCAGAGCTCTTAAACGTGCGAAAACATTTAAAGAGGGATAGGATCGATCTATATCGTTAGCACAAGGATAACTGCAAGGTTGTTGATGGAAAAACGACGAGGAAAATGTCGAATGATTCAGTGAGTCTCCCCTTTCTTCCTTCTGAGT